CCCTGCACGCCCAGGCCCCTGTACCTTCTCTACCCTGTGCTGCACTAACTCGGGCCCACGGCTGCGGCTCCACAAATGCCCCACTCAGCCTGAGAACCCAGAGCAAAGCCCTTCCAGAGCAGTGACCTCAGCTCTGGGACCCCCAGAGCACAGGGCTCGCTGAGTCCCAGACCTAGCGGAAGATGCGGCAAAACGCAGGGCCTTTTAGAGGCACCAGGAAGTAGGGAGGGAGACAAGTGATCTCGCTGGCCCAGAGCCAGAGAAGTCCCATAAACGCCGGTGGGGACAGGGCATGGCCAGCTGGGCTGGAGCGGGAGTGAAGGGAGAATGGAGGGAGGTGAGATGGGAGGACTCCATGATGTAACTGCATGCCCAGCCTGCCCAGCTGTGCCAAGGGTGTGAGGCTTTGCTTTGAAAGCTGCTATAATTATATCTCAAATGGAAATAATTATAATAATAATTTTCTTCTACATGTTGCCACTAGAGTAGGGCTGTTGAAAGGGTGGGAAGAGAGAAAAAAACAGCACCCTTCCCCCCCAACCACCAGCCTCTCATGCTCCCAGATAGTCGTGCGCGGGCCCGGTCAGGCCCAGCTTCTTCACATTGCTTCCTCCACTGCAACAGAGGAGAGTCCGGTGGGGAGAGAGGAAGTTCCCTTCCTCTGAGTGTTGGGTCACCAACACTCACTGTCAGGAGCAAGGCAAGGGAGGGCTGGGACCTTGGGCCCCGTCAGTACAGGGAACCGTGAGCCTGGAGCTCTCTGTACTCTGTCCTGGTCTTTTCTGCATCCCAGGCCTGACTGGGCTCATGGCTGCAGCCTGTGGTCCAAGATGGAGCAGTGGGAACTACTGCACATGCGCCTGGGGACCTCGGCCGCCCCCAGGACAGCTTCGTGCCCTCTCGCCCACGACAGGTAGCAGCTGCCAAGAAGAGAAGCAGAGGGGGATAGGGAGAGAAGGAGACAGAGGGAGGGTGGTCAGAACTTGTTCTAATACATTAGTGACCATCCTTACTCCTGGGCTGGGGCAGGGGACCTCAGGGGAGCCAGGACCTGGCTTGGTGCCACTCTGAGATCGGGCAACTCACACTTGTAAAGTAGAAGTCAGTGTCCAGCCCTTGACACAGGACCCATCTCCCGCGGCCCAGGCTCCTTATAACTGAAATGTCCCCAGGGGGACAGGATGGATGAATAGGAGACAGGTGATACCTGAGACTTGGGTCTGGGTGACAATCACAAGGACAGTTCCCGCGCCTGAGCCAGAAACGAGTGCCCACGCTGAGCCCTCCCCTTTGTGATCGCAGTCGCCTTTCCCACCTTTGATGTCGATGCTAGTATTAGACCCACTTTAAAGACGAAGACAGTGAGGCCGAGGGTGTGAAGCAAGGGGCCTGAGGTCCCACAGCCAGCAGTGAACCAACCGAAAGCAAACCGGCTCCGAGTTCGCCCTTTGGGTGTCTGGGCCCCGTCCCCTCGTAGTGATGGCAGCCCTAACCAAGAGGCTCCGTGGCTCCGGGGCCCTCAAGGCAGCAGGTCATTCTCCTGCACTTGGATGACGGCCCCAGGGGCAGGGGAAGAGGAGAGGGACGCCAGTGGCCAGAGGTAGAATCCATGTTCCCCCTTTTGTGCTGTGTGACTCTAGGAAATTACCTAAACCTCAGAGCCTCATTTTCCTCGCTTGTCAAACTAGTGTGACGTGCCTTAGTGACATGAAAGTACGGGAGCTAGCGTGTACGACCTTGCACCCAGTACAGGCTTGCGATGTCACGCTTCAGCAAGGCATTCCGCGGCTCAGCCTCAACTTCCCCATTTGAAAGTGAGAAGAATGGTTCCCAACACCCCTCGTTGCTTCACCCTCTTTGGGCTCATCCCTTCCCCCGTTCTTGCCCCAGGCTGTGGAGATGGAGAAGGTAGCTGAGTGAAGACCCCTGAGTTTCCTCTGTGAGCTCCTTGGTGATCTCTGACCTCAGCCTCAAGAGGCCTGCCCAGTGGTGGCGGTGGGGCCTTAGGCAGGAGGAGGGCGGGACCAGCTTATAACTTTGTGTTGTGGGAGGACGCACCATGGTCCAGGCCCTGGAAACCATCCAGTGCCTCAGAGCTGGGTAACGGACCCCGAGAATGTTTCGGGGGAAAGCACCGAGGGAGGTTTCTGTGAGGACCTGCTGCAGAAACGAGCAGTGGTGCCCAAATGTAAGCCTCCAAGACCACCCCGTCCCAAAGTCCAGCGACCCCCACCCCAGGGTCTCAGCAGGACCATTGCCAGGCCACGCATCCAATCCCCATTTACTATTTTTTTATTTTGTTTTCCAATTATGGTTTGCAGTCATTATTCTGTATTAGTTGCAGGTGGACAGCATAGTGGTTAGACAATGACATGCTTGTGCTGCTTCCATACCTTGGCCACTGTAAATAATGCTGCAGTGGACTCAGGAGTGCACCCATTCTTTCGAATCAGTGTTTTGGATTTCTCCAGATACCTAGAAGTGATATCGCTGGGTCATAAGGCAGTTCCATTTTTAATTTTTTGAGGAAATTCCATACTGTTCTCCACAGTGGCTGCACCAGTCTGCATTCCCACCAACAGTGCACCAGGGTCCCCTCTTCTCTACAACCTCGCCAGCACTTGTTCTTTGTTGATTTGTTTATGATGGCCATTCTGCCAGGTGTGAGGTGATGTCTCATTGTGGTTTTAATGTGCATCTCTGTGATGATTAGTGATGTTGAGCATCTTTTCATATGTCTATCAGCCATTTGTATGTCTTCAGAGAAGTGTGTGTTCAGGTCCTTTGCCCATTTTTTATTTGGATTGTTTAGTTTTTTGGTGTTGAATTGCTTAACTTCTTTATAAATGTTAGATATTTACCCCTTATCGAGTGTATCATTGTCAAATATCTTCTATCCTGTAGGCTGTTTGTTTTGTTTTGATTTCTTTTGCTGTGCAAACACTTTTTAGTTTGATGTTGTTCCATTTATTTATTTTTTCTTTTGTTTCCCTTACTAAGGAGGTATGTCAGAAAAAATATTGCTAGGAGCAATGTTTGAGCTTTTATTGCCTATGTTTTCTCCTAGGAGTTTTATGGTTTTGAGCTTACATTTGTTTTTAATCCATTTGAGTTCATTCTTGTATATGGTGTAAGAAGGTGAGGTCTAGTTTCTTGTTTTGTTTTGTTTTGTTTTTTTGCACGTAACTGTCTACTTTTCCTAATACCATTTATTGAACAGACTGTCCTTATTCCACTGTATGCTCTTAACCTCTGTGGTCATAGATTGATTGACAACATAGACATGAGCTTTTTTATGAGCTCTCTATTCTATTCCATTGATCTGTATGTCTGGTTTCGTCCTAGTACCATTCTGTTTTGATTACTATAGTCTTGTAGTATTGTTTGATAACAGGTAGTGTGACACCTCCAACTTTGTTCTTCTTTTTCAAGATTGCTGTTGCTATTCAGGGTCATTTGTGTTTCCATAGACACCTTTGGATTACTTATTCTGGTTCTGTGAAACATGCCATTGATATTTTGATAAATCTATAGATTGCTTTGGGTAGTATAGACATTTTAATGATGTTTATTCTTCCAATCCATGAGTACTGGGGGAGTGGGCTCTGCCCGCAGGCCCCCCCTCCCGCCAGCCACCAGGGATGAGAATAAGTCTACCAAGACATGATCTGCTTGGGGAGGAAACCTGGCCAATCTCTCAAAGGAGAAGAGCCAAGAGCCTTTTTCTCAATCCGCTTTATTGGGTTAAATTTGCACAGGAATACAGGTAAAGCTCATTAATCATTGTCATGCAGTAAGGATCAAATAATACATAACATACAAAGAACTACGAGGGCTTATTCTGAGTCAGGGTCTGTTAGCTAAGGGGCTACAAAACTTTGGGAAACGAACTCATTTCCTGCTCAGACCCTTATCATTTAATTGAGAGCATGCTTAGCAAAGTAGGTTCACAGGAGTTTACGTATTCTTTCTTAGGCCTGTTCACCCAGGGGAACCCACCCTTTCTAGCACCGCCCTCTGTCATTGTTTCAGGCTGAAGCCAGGAAGAGGAAGTAAGGCAGCCAAGAAGTTAAGAGACTTCTCGAAGACAGAATGAGGACTCAGGCTATGTCAAAGCTGAGAGGCGAGGGTCCATCACCCCTTTTTGGTATTGCCCCTCAAATCCTTCCCTGAGGGCCCCTGTGATCATGCCTGTTTTAGGTCAACCCTCCCTTGAGGAATCTTACCTGTCATTGGTTAACCAGTCATGCATTAGGGGTCAGGCAGGGTGAAGTAAAAGGGGCAGAGGCAGCGCCCCTGCCAGGGAGATAAGCCTTGTCTCCTTAGTGGCTTATGGTCCCAAGGTCGCTCACTCAGCCTTAGCCATGGGGGGAGGGGGTTACAGTTTCTGAAAGCAGGCAGGATGCTTCCCAACAAATATAACGTATGCCTCCATTAATTCGTATCTTCTTTGATTTCTTTCTTCGGTGTCTTATAATTTTCCAAGCACAGGTCTTTTACCTTCTTGGTTAAATTTAATCCTAGGTATTTTACAAGGGAGACCCCACAAAAACTGGAATTATATTCTGGAGGGTGGGCCCTTGCAGGGTGAGGCTCTCTGGATTGGTGTGGGAAGGCTGTGAGTTGGGTGGCATCGCGAGAGGAAGGTTGGGTAAGTTATTCCAGGCTACCTCGGGACAAAAGCTGCCAGAGCTCTCCTTCCCACCTGGCGCTTGCCAGGAGAGGACAGAGCAGGCTGCCTGATGTGCCTCCCTGCCCCTCCTCCCACGGAATTCCCTCGGCAAGAGCAGCCCCAGATGCCCCAATATCCCTTCTGGCTCAGGGTCCATGCCCACAACCTTGCATGAGGGGCAAGTAGCCAAGAGGAGGGCCTGGAGGCCAGGGGAAGGGGGCGGGTGGGGGAGGGGGCTAACCACAGCAGGCTGGCAGGGTACAGCCCCTGCCAGAACAAAGCTGGGGGGCTGCTGGCCTTACTCACCGCTGCTGTGGCCAAACACCCACACATTGGCACAGGAGACAGCCTGGAGCTGGCTGGAGGGGGAGAGAGAGTGTGGCAGCTTTCCAGGACATTTGTCCTGGGGGAGCGACACCTCTGTTCGTTCCCCAAAGGTCCTGAAGCTGGGGAGCCAGGAAGGATGAAGGAAGCAGGGGTCTCAGCATGTGACGAGATCTGAGAGGAAGCCATCATCCCTGCATTCCACTCCTGCCACAGCGCCACCCCATGAAGGCACTTAGGGGTAGTCAAGACAGGTAAGCAGAGTTGTAAGAATGCTGCCGAAACATCTCCAGGTGTGTCAGGAAGGAGGCGAGTGCAGCTTCATGGACAGGTTCTCGGTTTCATCTCCTCTTCCCCAAACTGCTCCAGATCAGCCGTTAAGCTTCAGAAAACCTCCCAGACCCCGAAGAACACGTCCGCCCCCAGCCCACCCCCACCTCAGCCGCCGGGCACTCGGGGGGGCCTCGGCGGTGCAACCCGAAGGCTCTGGCCTTGGCGTCCAACGGCCCGAGTCTGAATTAATGGCATTATGACTCACTTGCCGTGTACCCTTGGGGACAGTTAACTTTGCCCACGGTAGTCATGAAACTTCTGTTGTTCTGGCCACCGGAAACTTCCACGGGGCCCAGTGCAGTGCGCAGTTCTCTCCCTCCTCTTCCTCACCGGCAGCATTCGACATGGCCTGTTCTCTCTCTCCTCCCAAAAGGACTTTCCTTCCTTGGCTCCCAGAATAGCAGGTCTCCTGGGCTCCTCCTCCCTACTTTCCTTGGCTGATTTCTCCTCCTCTCGCCAACCCCCATTGGGCTGTTGGACCCACCCCACACCCACTGCTTAGCACGATCGCGCGGGGTCAGATCTTTAAGCTTCATCTCTGTCCCACAGTGACTCTCCAGGCCCATCTCTCCTTGAACTGGCTTGATGTCACCAACCGGACAAGCAACAGGCATCGCCAACTGGCAGGTCCGAGGATGTGGAGAAAAGAGCTCGCCCCTTCCCTGCTTGTGGGAGCTGTCGCCGCTGCGGAAAACGGTGTGGCCGCTCCTCAGACAGAAAGTTACCCCGTGACCCCAGCTATTCACCCCTAGGTACATACCCAAGAGAAATGAAAACTTACAGCCACAAAAGCTTACACATGAAGGTATGACCAGAGATACGGTATCAACGTTCACGAATTATTTACTTTTTAAAATCAATCAGAGCAAAATCCAGGTTACGCATAAAATTGCACCACCTGTTTTGCATCCGACACTTTGCAGGCCTCGTTGCTCACTCCTGAGCTGGGCCCTGCTCCTTGTCCTGTGTGGGGGGGAGGGGGATGAGTCCCGCTGATCAAAACAGCAAAGGAGGTGGGGCCCTGAGAGAGGACTCCTGAATTGGCTCTAAATTGTGCTTCTGCCTACATGCTCCCTGCTTCCCTTATTAGGTCAGAATGTGACATAGGATTCTTCCAGAAGACTGTGAGCCCTGAGGGAAGGGCTAAGCCAGGGGTGCCAAACTCATTTTTACCGCAGGCCACATCAGCCTCCTGGTTGCCTTCAAAGGGCTGAATGTAATCTTAGGGCTGATTAAATGTAACTACCCCTTAACAGTTCAGTGAGCGCCGGGCGCTGCCACGGGGCGGAAACGAGGCAGAGGGCCGCATTCAGCCACCGGTGGGCTCTGCCTCTCCCATCAGACTGGGAGCTTCTTGGGGGTAAAAAACTGTGTCTGCTCCATGCTGGCAGCTGGCTTAGGGCAAAGCCGGAGGCCTTCTTCCTCTGTGTTCACTGCTGCCCCTCCCCCAGGGTGCCCGTCACAGGGCCACCGACAACAGAGCCACCCCTCCCGGGGTTACTGCTGGGCAGGACAGCTGGTGGCCCCAAGAAGATGCCGCCAGCGGAGTCTCGTGCCAACCCGGGTCTTGGTGGCCGAGGCTCACCTGGGCCTTGTGGGTTTTGCCCAACGGACTCTTCTGTGGTTAAACCACAGGCTGCGTTTCTGGCTTAGATCTTCTCCTCCTGCCGCCTCCTCTTGGGTCCGAGAGGGTCCCCTGAAGCCCCTCGATTCTATCCCCGCAGGTGGAACCCCGTGTCCTGGTCTCTGAGGAAGACAGTGAGGGGTGGCAGCTGTCACAGGGCTGGAATCGAGGAGCGGGCCTGTCTCGGCAGCCGGGCGAGCAGGGCCACCCCTGCAGGCAGTCAGCTCAGCCCCAGCAGCTCAGCTCTCCCCACGTGGGGAAAGCGGCCAAGATCACAGGCCTGCCCGTGGCTGGAGAGCGCCCAGCACCGACAGCAGGCTGGCCAAGTTCGCCTCCACATCGCAAAATGTCCAAGCGAGTCTGGATCCGGGAGATGAGCTCCCCAAACTCTGTGTCCATTATGCACAAATGGCTTTTCAGCCACTTTAAAGTCCATGGCCCGGCTGCCACTACCTGTGGGTGACCTTGGGCAGGCTAACATGGCTTTGCTAGGTCTCGGCTTTGTCACCTGTGAATTGGGGCTAATCACGTCTACTTACAAGGATTAACTAAAACCATGTGTATAAAGCACTTCTTAGTGGTGCTTGGTAAATAGTAGGCGTTCCCTAAATGTTGTTTTATTGTTGTTATTGCTTTCCTATTGTGCTTCTGCAAGCTTCTGCTGGGCTGGTTACAGCACAAAAACGTGTGGAACCTGTACCCACATACAAGATATATGTGAGGACAGCTTCATCAGAGGGGGGGAGAATGAGGCCCCTGGGCCATCCTCTCGGGGCCCCCCCCAAAGGGAGACAGCCGCCAGCTGGCGGAGGGCTCACCTTCATCCAGCCACGCATCCCTCCCCACGGCGGCACCGGGTTTATGAGATCTACTCAGGTGAGGGGAAAGCTGGCCCATGTCTTTCTCGCATCGTTCAGCGAGAGTGCACCCCACTCTGAGAGCCGCGAGAGGCAGGCTTTCCTGAGGATTTGCACACCTGCCTGGGGAGGGTGAGCAGCTGGGTCTGCTTACACCTTTCTCAAGGCAATCAAGTATTTGAAAGGACACGCTTTATTTGAGAGAGCTACAGGCTATAGCCAGGTGGCAGAGACCAATGCTGTGCAACAGAACTTCCTGTGATGACAACAATGGTCTGCATCCGCACTGTCCGGCGCAGCCACCACTAGCCACGTGTGGTTGCTAGGCCACTGAGATGTGGCTAGTGGGATCAGGGAACTGAATTTTTTATTTTAAGTCATCTTCATTAATTTAAACGTAAGCAGTCACGTGGAGTCTATAGCCATGGCTTTAGACTGCACAAGTTCAGAGAACAGGCCCTGAGCTGGGTGGATCTGTGGCAGGCCGGGCATGACATTGACCTTCCCTGAGCTTCTTCCCTCTCTCTTGTGTAGAGATTATACAGCACCAGGCTCATGGGGTTGGTTTGAGGATTAAATAAGGAAATGAAGAGAAAGCACTTAGCACAGTAAGAACTCAATAAAGACCAGCTATTATCATTTATTCTTTATAATATCTAAGCTTCAGAGACCCTAGTCACTCAGTCCCCAAATAGCTGAACACTTACAATCTTCCGGGCACAATTCTAAGCACTGGGGTTGCAAAAAATGAGTCTTCAAGATCTTGTCCTCTCTAGAAATCTCTATCTGAACGAAGGAAACTGACAGGTAATCAAGGGCTGTAGCGCAGTAGAGGTAGTAACTCTGGTGGTGTAGGAGGCCTCCAGAGTAATTACAGATGGGAGAAGTAAGGAAGTCAGGGAAGGCTTCCTGGAGGAGGCATGTTGCTCTCTCTCTACATTTACTGGCTCAACTTGTCCTCATAGCTCTAAAGCCCACTACCACTTGACATTCTCTCTCCAACATCTTATATTAGTTTTCTTTGCTACTGTAACAAACTACCACAGATTTACTGGCTTAAAACAACACATTATTATCTTACAGCTCTGGAGATTAAAAGTCTGAAATGGCTTTTGCCAGGCTAAAATTAAGGTGTCAGCAGGGCTGCATTCCTTCCGGAGGCTCCAGGAGATCATTTGTTACCTTGTCTTCTCCGGCCTCCACAGACCTCGTTCCTTGGCTCGTGCTTATTCCATCTTCCGAGTGGTGGATCTTCAAATCGCTCCTCTTCCCGCCTCTCCTCTCCCCTCGCCCCTCTCTTTCTCTGTCTCTCCCTCCCTCTCTCTCTTTTCTCCCCCCCACCCTTTGTCCCTCCCCCTTGCCTCTCTTCTAGAAGGACCCTTGTGATTACATTAAACCCACCCTGATAATCCGCCGGGATAAACTCCCCATCTCAGGATCCTTCATTTAATCCTGCAAAATCCTTTTTGCCTTGTAAAGTAACATATTCACTGGTTCTGGTAATTAGAATGAGGACATCTTGTTTCTTTTTTAAAAAAAACTTTAGTGACACATAATTCACACCATATAATTCACCCGCTTAAAGTGCAAAATTCAATGATTTTTTTTATTATGTTCACAGATATGTGCAACCATTGCAGTCAGTTTTAGAACGTTCTTATCACCGCAATAATAAACCCTATACCCTTTAGCTCTGGCCCATCTACGCTCCCCGACCTGTGAACCCCCCTTAAGCAGCCACTAATCTACTTCCTGTCTCCTGTAGATTTCCTTATCTGGGACTTTCATATGGATGGAATTATATAATGTGTGGTCTTTTGTGTCCAGCTTTTACTTAACCTAATGCTTTCAAGATTTATTCATGTCAGCGCTTCATTCTTTTTTCTGGTCAAATAATACTCCATTGCATAGATATGCTGGCTTCTATTTATCCATCCATTCACCAGTTGATAGGCATTTGGATCGTTTCCATCTTCTGGCTACTGTGAGTAATGCCACCATAAACAACTGTGTACAAGTTTCTATGTGAACTTGTACACATTTCTTTTAGATATACACCAAGGAATAGAGTTGCTGGATGGCATGGGGACATCTTTGGGGAAGGAACATTACTGTCTACCACACTTTTAGTTCAAAGTCTTGGAAGACCCTAAGGACTAGCGCCAACTTGTGTAGCAAATTCATTCACTTGGGTCAGGAGTGCAGCTGCTGGTGCATGAAGAGGCAAATTCATAGGTGCACACAGTCAGCAGGCGGCAGGGCGCCGTGCTGATGATGACTGCGGCAGGGGCCAGTTATTGCAGCCCTGCTCACAACTCCCCTCTAAAATGTTCACAAGCCATCTGGCCGCACTTCATGTTACCCTTTGGGTCTGAGATGAATCCTTTCCATAAGCCTCTCCTCTTACTGGAGCTGGTCTGAGTGGGCTCCTGTTCCTTCCATAAGACACTAATGCCACGGGGTGGTTGTGAGGATTTGGTGAAGACTCAGTGAGAAAACACATATGGAAGTGGTAAAGTATTTCAGAAACGAAGGTGAAAGGGAGACCCAGGCTGAGCCCTGGCTCTGTTCCCACTGAATCCAAGCTTGAGCTGCAAGGCCTCTGTTGGGGTCAGGCCCAGCAGGAATGGAGGCCAGACGAGCTGGGTCCCATTAATAGGTGATAGGGACCATTCAGGGCAGAGTCCTGGAAAAGGACAGCAGTAGGAGGAGGGGCTGGCAGCCAACTGCACAGAGGGGACTTGTTAGGGACACAGATAAGCCACCTCTGGCACTTTTGGGGATGGTCATGGGAACTTTACACAGAGCCAGAGGTCTGACCAGGCAAGAGGGCAGGGGCCAAAGTGACAGGAGGAGTTACCGTGCAGAATTCCACCTCCCAAGAAGCAACTTGGCACCCTCTCCACTCTCTATCAGATGTCCCACAGAGAACAGACTGCCCAACAGGCTGTCTCCTGGAGACCTCTGAAGGGGGGGACACATGGCCTCTCCTTGCCTGGGCGAGGCTCAGTCAGCGGTCACTGCATGCACAGCGACTTTCATTCCTACTCTTTGGACAGCTTACAACTGAAGTCTCTCTCTCTAGAAGCCACCTTGAATGAAGGGCTTAAATTCAAAAGAGTTAATATGTTTTGCAAGGAGGACAAAGGTTGAGTCAAATTGGCCAGCCTGGTCAAGTCACAGGGCAGGGGAATTCAGCAGAGGCAGAGGCCTGAGAGGAGAATTACCTGGACACAGGTAGCTAAGTGACTCTTATGGCTCAGGCCCACAGGGGCAAGGAAGGGGGCCTAGGGTGGGGCAGGAAGAGAGAGACGAACCCAACTAGGTCAGGAGGGCAGTGGGTAGGACACTGGAAGGAGACATAGGACAGAGTGAGAGCCGGGATGTGCAGAGGGCACAGGAAGGGAGGCACATTCACTCATTCACTCACTCGCATGCCAAACACACACTGAGAACCTGCCAGGTCCTCTGGTGGGCTCTGCACACCACAGTGGTCGTGGTGGTGCCTCTGCCCTTAAATCCAGGGCTCCGCGAGTCCATTGGCAGCCAGCTCACACCTCTGGTTCTCCTTCCCCACCCACACTCACGGGCCCACCTCCAGGAGCCTCGTCTTCCTTCAGAACCAATGCATGGAGAATCACTACTGAAAGACTGTTGTAATCTTGACCTCTTCAGTGCCGAGGCACAGCAAGGGCGAGGAACCGGCAGTGATCATGGGGCCACAGCTTTGTGAGCCGATGTGTGATCCTGGAACTCCCTGCTCTATCCATGAGGATCTGCTCTCCTCCCAGTTAGTTACCCCCATGCCTCTCCCACTAAGTGCCCAGGACCATGGATTGGCAGGCAGAAAGAGACCCCTTAGAGACTCGGGGACAAGGCAGAGAAAGGGCCCAGGGTTTGGAGACCAAGGCAGCATGGAAGAGGGAGGAGAAATCCAGAGACCAAGACTGGTTCTCGGTTCAGGTCTGGGCTTGAATGCAAACCCTCTGAGCCTCTCTTACTCTGCCTCCAGGCAAGGAGGCAGCTGTGGAAGCTCAGACTGGACAATGTATGTGAACGCAACCAGCCCCTGTGGCAGGATCCACCTGTTTGGGAGGGCAATACAGGGAAAAGGGCCCATCTCCTCCCTGGGAGACATACCTGTAATCAGCCACTGCCACTGGCAGGCAGGAGGCTGGGCCTCCAGACTGTCTCTGAAGGGCGGGCCTGGCTGTTTGTCAAAGGATTGCCACCACGCCCTCAGGCCACTGAACTTTGAATAGAAGGTGGGTTAATATTTCCCCCCAGGAGCCTGAAATCTGCACAGCACCTCTCAGTTTCACTGCCAATCCGGTGGGGTGGGTGGGAAAAGTATTAAGAAACCCATTTCACAGACGAGGAACCAACCAGGCCCAGAGAAGTTAGATTTTTCCCAGAGTGACAGCTGGGAGAGGTTCTGGGCTGCCAGAGAGTTCAAGGCATTTTCCACCCAAAGGCGCCATGGCTCAGGGGACCTCCAAGTCCCAGCGGACAGCTTCACTCACAGCGGGGGCAGATGCAAGTGGGGCAGATGCGCGCATCAGGGCTCTGGGCAGGCTTATGATTTGGTTCCCTTCTCTAACCAGCTGGCATTTGTTCGGCCAAAGTATAAGAACATCCGATTTTTTCCTTTTTCTAAACGTCTATCTTTAAAGATCAAAATAAAGCTTTATGACGTATATTGAGGGTAACCAAACACTCAAACCTAATCAAATCTGTCTTTCTCTGCAGTTTTTCCATCGGTCACAGCATTAGTCACCCTTGCTCATCAGGAGGGAAGTAACCAGCTTAGATATAGTTACAAAATCTTCAAAATGTGCTTAAATTTTTTTCCAGCATTCATGTCAGCAAAAGATTTCCCACTTTTCTGTGGTTCTGCTCATTTTCATTTTCTTCCGCAATTGCGAAACTTAGGCAGCTTTTTCAGAAATGTGTCAGTCAGGTGGCTGATGGTGATAAGAAAACTAGAACTCAGTTCAACAGTGAAGTTTCCTTGTTTCCCAGAGCTGGTGATCCAGAGGCAGGGTGGCCCTTCAGGGTGAGTTCGGTCCAGGCACAAGGGTCCATTCTCAGTAATTCCTCTGGCTGCCTTCTCCTCCAACACCTTGGCTTTGCAGACAATCTCACAGAAGCAAAATGACAACAGTGAGGAGCCAAAGGCGGG